GCATCTTTTTCGTGGAAAAATAAGCTTTGTTTGCATTACTTATTTTTAACAGAATTTCATTGTGCATATTATATTTTGTATATATATTGACCATATGTCTAGTTATTATTACATATTTAGTTTTATTCTCATTGATAAAGAGGTAGATTCTGTGACTAGACTCAATTAGTTTCTTTATGACCTTTACTACGTCGTTTTTTGTGTCTTCTAATATTACGATGTCATTCCCGTTCGCGAACATTATAGTTTTGCCATTCATCTCCATTTCGTGATTCACTGATTTATCTCCAACGGTTACGGTCCGTGTTCAGTAATTAGGTTCCTATCATCATCAGACATAGTGCAGTTTCGTAATTTGTATCCTTCTTTTACCGATTTACATTGCATATAAAAAAGTCTAAGATTACCTTAATAATTTTCAATGTCTTCAATCGCATTCTTTTCTTTGTTAATCTTTTTTCGCATTATACTACATTGTTGGCCATGTTTATCGCTTCTTTATAGGTTTGTATTCTTTTCTGTCTTGCATCTTGTAACATTTTTAATCTGCAAATGTTGCGGTTTCTTATTGCATCTTGACAAGCTTTATTAAACCAATATTTTTTGGTTTTTAGCTTTTCTCTTGAAAGATTCTTGGAGCTTCAGTTATTGTATCTTTTATCTTAGCCAAGACTAATTCAATTCCAGATGTTTATGAGTACTTCAATTTATTTAAATCTTTAATAATTCTGACTTGATACATTTGTAATTTTTTTGGGTCCTTGGTTTTATTTCAGTTGTGTTGTTTCTTACTTTGTATTTGTTGTTGCTTTCTTCTCCAGTTTACTGACAGTTTTTCCGAAAAGTCTGATACTACGAGGTAGTGGTCCGTATCCCCTCCCTTTTCTCTCCCTTATAATTTCTTATATTTCTTATACATGATTTATGTCGCCTGTTTATTGTTACGTGGCTAATTCGGCTCTTAGTTATTGTGTTAGGGGATCCCATGTCTGTTTGTAAATATATTTTCTTGGGGAAAACGTACTGCTTACTACGAGGTCTTTCGACACTGCAAAGTTAATGGCTCGTACCCCATTGTCACTATATGTCAAATGTAGGCTTTCATGTCCGATAGTAGGCCTATAAGTAGACTAACGTACAATCTGTGCATTTAGATCTCCTACAATAATCTTTACTGTATTTCCAGGTAATGAGTTGTGTGCGTTCTTTAAACTTTCATATAAATCGCTCTTTACTTCATTGTTCTTATCTTCCGTTGGAGCATAGAAATTCAACAGGACAATATCCCATATTTATCCTTTTACATTTATAAAGCACATTCTCTCATTGATTGATGGAAAACTTTTTATGTTTGGCAGTATTAAATCGCTGACTAGGAAACCGACACCATTTCAATGTCTATTACTCCTCTATCTACTCTTAAAAATCGTGTGACTGCCTGATTTACCACTGCTGTGTTCTGGCCATTTTACTTCCTGTAATAGTACTATTGGTATATTATACCTGGTCACTTCGTTAATCAATATTTTTAAAGCTCCTGGCTTCAACAAATTTCTAATATTCCATGTTCCGATCCCTAATCTCTTGCTGTCTTTTTTCCGTTTTACGTCTTGTTTTCCATTGAGACTGTCCCGAGTCTTTATTTTTAGATTCACCAAAATATGTTTTTTACAAGGTAAGATTGTTAGCCTTACGCTAAACCCCCCCCCCTTTTGGAGGTCCAAATCATCCCAATCAATTAAGATCAGGGTGATGACTAAACTGAACCAACTTGTTAAAGTCATTTCAGTTTAGAGTTTAAGGCCACGGGTTCACCATACCCTAACCACTAGTTAGTGGCCCCATGAGGGATAAAAGATAAATTTAATATAATTTATTTAAAAAATCTAATAAGCCAATAATTTAAATAAATTTTGTGAAAAAACAAACGAATATTAGGAGAATAATAATTTGATTTTTCGATTAATATTAATCTATCAATATATTTATTTTATTTTTAGTTTTGTGAGTGGAATAACATAAAAAATTGCGAAAATATAAACAAAATATTTCCAGTTGATTGGCAATGGCAGAAAGAAAAAGTCATTCTTTTAGAAATTAATTCAAGTTATGTTATTAATGATTTGCAAAATATTTGTACGAATAACAAGCTAAATGATTCAAATTTAGATTTAAACGTTATTAAAATTGAAAGTGAAATGAATTGTTTTTTCAAAGCATTATCTCTTTGTATAACTGGAAAAGTGATACATAATCGACATATACAATCTAAATTAGTTAAAGTAATAATAATTTGATACACTTTAGGATGTTTATAATTAATTTTGTGTGTTTTTGTAGTTTCTGAATTTGTCTTCAAACTATCTAGAGTTCTACGACGAAAACACAATACAAAGTCGAATAAATTATTTTTTATACAGGGGTAATAATAATTTTTAAATACAAATGAATATAAATGATCCTTTAATTTACACTGGTAAAATTAATTTATGATTAAAAATATGATTAAGTAGTTTATTTTTCCCTAGAGTAAGCTAATAATAATAAGTACTCAAAATTTTAAATTTATAGAATAAAAATAATAAAGAATTTTTTTTTAATATTAAAAATATTTTTTAAATTATCTAGATTCTAAAATTTAAATATTTTTAGTTTTTCCTGTAGGTGTGGCTGAGTTATATGCTGCAGCTGAAATGTTAAAAACGTCTATTTATGTTTTTGCTAATAAAAAATGGTTCTTTATTAGTAAAGATGGAATAAACGGGCAAATAACAAATGAACAGTGCCTGTATTTAGAAAATCCTTACAAAAATCATTTTAATGTTATTGTTCATGGTTAGTTTAAATATTGATGTAAACGTTTCTCTGAAATATATTTTTTATTTAGTTCTCTATTTATTGTACTATTTACCTGCTAGTGGCGTTGCCACCTTATAGCCAATATCAGTAACTAGTTGTTTTAAAATATTTTCAAATTATTGGACGCATTTAATGATGAGTGCTTACATAATTACATTACATTATCATATGTCGAAAAAACTTGAAAGTGAAGCAAAAAAATAGATATAGTATACTTAACACCCAATTTAAACATATTACTATTATCTCTCATTTAGTACGTTGTATTTTTGTATTGCTATCATATTTGTCATAACTTGGACAGTAAAACTTAGTTCATATTACACCAAAGAGAAATAATGTATTCAAAATAGTATATCATAACAACAGAAATTTAGTCTCAAACCATTTAACTTTAACAAACTGTAACCGACAAACGATTGATCGCATAACAAGAATTTCATTTATATGAACAAAGTTGTGTATAATTTTTTTTCTATCATAATATCAAGTTAAAAATAGGGATTTCCATTTAAGCAAATAAAAGTTAAGCTTTTTTAACCATGCAGGGATGAAAAAACAATTTTTTACAATCTATTATTATAGAGTTTTAAGAACTTATCACTTTTTAGTATTATAAAAAAATAAAAAATTCTCAATAGTTTCAGAAAAATTAGAATCTTGCCATATTTATACTACTAAATATTTGTAATTTTATGATTGCACTATATTCCAATTTATATATTATTATCACTATAATAAAATCTTATATAATATTTATTATTTAGAAAGTAACAGTGAATAATTAAGTTTTATTTTGAATGTAAAATTTTATCCCCCAAATTTTTTTTATAATTAAAGACATATAGATCTGTAATTATCAATAAAAATAATGAGTTCAAAGGCATAATGAATGCCGGACAGTCCGTGTTTTAGGCTATCCCCATAATGAAAAAGTTATAAAAATCTTTTATTTATTATTTTTTGTATACTTGTTATTAAAAAAACTGAATGGAAGTAGGATAGTTGGGACAAGTATAGATGTTATCTGATAGTGATTAAAATCACTAATCATAAGGAACGCTATGATGCAAATTTGTGATAGTCTTTAATTTTAAGAAATTGGTGGATTATTCAAAAGCAAAATTCTAACACAAAAATAATTAAGGAAAAATTGCAAAAAAATCATTATCACAGGCAATGATTTTGACTGTTGATGTAAATATTGATGTAAACAATTTTATGAAATATATTATTTATTTAGTTTTCTATTTATTGTACTATTTACCTGCTAAAGACGTTGCCATCTTATTGCCAGTATTAGAAACTAGTTGTTTTAAAATTCATTAAAATAATTTTTTCAGATCAGACTATTTTCATTAAAACTTGAATTTTACAATATTTTCAAATCATTAGATAGAATTATTATACATTTTATTTGTTAAAATAAATTATTAAATCACTTAATTATATTTTACATAATTGTATGGAACTAACTCCTTATTCCACTAAAAATGTTTACTGTCACCCGATGCAAATCATATAATATCACAATTTTATAAGAGTATATAATACTCATATACGCTTAAAAATATTTCTGTTTCAATAGCATAAGTCTTAGACATTGATTTATTGCAGAAATATCTTGTCATCTCATTTTTCTATATTTTAAAATTATATCACATTATGGAGTAATTCCGACATAATTTGATTTATAAAGATGACATTTAATGCAGAGTAACATTTTATGACATTTTACAACCGATCTGTCGAACTTTCCAATTAATTTTTTGCATGGACCAATAATAATTCTTGAATTAGTTAAGTTAAGTAATTTTTAAATAAAAAAATTAATATTTATAAATATTTATGCAGCAATAATAAGAATTAAATAAGAATTAGCATTAATCGCTTTATTTTGTATATATCAAGTTTTATTACCACAATTTATAACTTTCATGTACAATATTTCTGGATAAATATTATAAACAAAGCTTGTTTTAGTGTTCCTTTAATTGAAAGTTGAAAGGATAACACGACAAGAAGTAGACAGAATATGGAATATTATTAATATTTCTATATAAGCATATTATACAAAACATAAGGTGTTATTAAAATTAATGTTACNACATAAGATGTTATTAAAATTAATGTTAGTAACACTTAACTAGACTAAAATATATACATGATTACATGAACTTATAATTTAGCATTAACGTAAAATAACAAAATAAAGACGACCTTTAGATCCAATAAATGATAGTGACCTGATTATGGCTGGATTGCGAGTTACAAGACTTGTTGCAGAAGGCGTTCCACAGCGTGGAAAAGTTATCGTCTCGGCGATGGCGAATTTTCGGCGTATGCGAAGGTAGGCGCGTATACCTCTTTGCGGTGCTTCAAAATAGCACAAAATAATAAAAAAAGAAAATGAAATGATGATATATCATTCAATACAATATTGACGATATTAGACCGAGCGTTTTAATTGCGAATAGAAATACTAATGACGCGTTTTAAAGAGTCCCATGGAACTCGTTTTAATTATTTTATCAGCGGTCAATCACATCTTGATGGGGCGGTCACAAACAAGGTACCATATAACTATATACGCAACAAAGCTATTTAACACTTTCCTGTTAAAATAAAAATATAAACTATAAATAGTATACTTTAAATTTAAATTTAATCAAATTTATAAAAATCAAAACAATATTCAATAAAATTAGTCAACTGAGCACAAATTGAAATCTTCATACCATACATTTATGATCAATTCTGATTTTACAATTGATGTATTTAACGAGAAGAATTGGGGTTCAATTAGATAACCTAACGCTAGTAAATATTGGACGATCGAATATTAATTGGCTTATTGGCTGACGTGAAATTGCATGCAAAAGTACTATTTTATACTATTGAGATTATCTTCGAATTTTATTTTATAGAATAAACGTGCCCTTCTGTCTAGGTGACTTGACAAGAGACAATTATTTTTAATAAACTTTTGAAGATGTAAAACTTTGTTTGACACGATGGATAAGAAATATTATTTGGTCTAACTATAAACATATAGTCTTTTGTAAAATTTTAATGGTATCGAAGAAAATATTTCTATGTAATAGAACTCACAATAAATATGTTGAGGCATACATTTGCAACATTAAAAATTTACTATTGTCTTAAAACAGAGAAATTTCCTTCATATAAGCTTCATTCAAAAGTTGTGTAAGTTCAAGCAATGTGCATATTGTTCATCGGGTGTAGCTAAAAACCATAAAATTTTGCAACATTATCTTCTATTTCCGTATTTATATCATGTTTTTTTGTAAAAAAAGTTTTCATTTTGAATCCCCCCTTGTGAGCATATAAAGGGACAAAATATTTAAGAGAATTATAAATAAGAATTCTTTAACGGATTAAATCAATTATTAGCTTCGATGCGAAGCTAAAATTTTACCATGATGTGTTTTTTTTTTTTTGTGACTGTTACCTCTTTTTCTCAGCTCTCACCGAACGGATTTCTTTCAATGATACGTCAAAAGATCACAAATCGTATCTAGTCGAAGACATTACCCTTAAAAATTGAAAAAATTTCCCTCGTTCCCCGTAAATGTGGGAAACCTCTAAAAAAATTATAAATTTAAAAATCGCTAATTTTCAAAATTTTTTCAATTTTTTTTACTAAAAACTGCCGTAATTTTTTCAAAAATGACCATATCAATATAATTTTTTTTTTTTTATAGATTTTTGATGTCTTTAACTATCATTTGGTATATTTTTTTTGTAAATTTGACCCTTTATCTGCCCACAGGGGGGAATTTAAAATGACAACTTTTTCACAAAAAATTAACTTTTTCAACTTAACATTTGAAAATGTTCCGGAAGGTCTGACGCTTTTATATATATCTTAAATTAAAGCTAATGTAATGTACTTTATTATGGAAAAAAAAAATTTGACCTCTAGACTTGTCTTCGTGATGAAAATGGCTACTGACTACTATTTTCGTGTGAAAATTCTTGATTTTATTTTTTACATTTTTAACTTTTTAATGCTATAACTTATTGAAAAATGTTTCGATCAACACAATTTTTTTATGAGAAATAATATTGTTTAATAATCCCTTTTTTATTCAGGATATTAATAAGAAAATAGCAGATCATGTAGCATTTGGAATAATCCACCAATTTTTTAAAATTAAACACTATCTAAAGATTTACATCGAAGCGTTTTTTTTTTTTTTTTTAGTGATTTTAATCACTATCAGATATTATTATACTTGATCCAACTATGCCACATCACCACTGTGCCGCGACCACCCTGTGCTAGGTTTTTTTTCAATCTTTTTATCAAAAACATTTTTTACTATTTCTATTACAACATTATTTAAACCCTTTTTAAATTATTTATATATCATTATAGAATTAATATTTGTAAATTATTTTAGAAAAGTTAAAAAGTAGTTCAAAACTATTTGAAAATATTTTATACAAAATCAAAATAGAATAATATTATAAATTCGAATTTGCTAACTGGAATTAGTATTACAGCACCTTACATTTAAACATGTCACATGCTAAATAAAAATTAACTTATCTACATATATAAAATGTATAAGATATTTATATTATTTATAATTACCTTAAATTACCATAGATACTATTAGATTACTAATAGATTAATTTACGATATAATTAGATTACGATAAAAATGCAAAAAAATAGCTTTTCTAATGAATTTTCGGTAAATAGCAATTTTATAAATTAGAATATATTTGAAGTTGAATGACTCTGAAAGAAGTTTCACTTCATAAGCGCTTATATGTAATACAATTTTATTTTAATTTTTTTTAGTTATCACGTGACATCTTTAAATATAAAGTAATGAAATACTCATTCCAGTTAACAAATTTGAAATTATAATATTAATGAAATGAATCTTCTTTATAAATGGTCAAAAAAAAAAACAGATTATCGAGCGCTACAGTTGGCTATGGTCGGGCGTAAAATATATTTTATATAATAATTTAGTACTGTATTTTCGAAAATTATACCTTAATTATTAAGGTATTTTTATTTTAAATGTATTAAATTAATTAATTTCAAATAAAAGAAATTCCAATTAAATTGTGTTATGAGTACACGCATATGAAGTAATACTTCTTTCGGGGTCATTCAACTTCAAATAAACTTTAATTATGTCCTGATTTATAGTTTTATGATTTCTAAATATAACATATGAATAAATACATATTATAAAAATTGAATTTAGATTGAAATTAATGTTCATTAATTTAGTGCAGAAATTTTTACGGAAAAATGATTAAAAAAAAAGAAAATTAAAATCGATTATTCTGACCCTCGTGAAGTTAATTATAATTTCAGTAATTAAATTGAAATTGTAATTCATAGTAGAGCCATTACTAACCAGAAAATTTTTTTTGGTAAAAACAGCCCCATTTCTTTTAAAATACATATTGGATTCATATAAAAGCTGCATAAATTCTCCCTGAAAAAATGTATAACTATTAATTAAATCTTTACTATGATGTGTTCATTTATTTTTTTGTGTCTGTTATCACTTATTCTCATATATCACTAGACCAATTTTTTTGAACAATACGTTATAAAATCACAAATCAATCTAGTTGAAACATTACCTTTAAAAATTGAAAAAAAATCTCTCGTTCCTTGTAAATGGGAAAAATCCCCAAAAAAATTATAACATTAAAAATTGGGCTATTCGAATTTTTTTTACTTAAAACTGCTATAATTTTTTGAAAATAGATGTGTTGAAAATAAAATGAAATTTAATATACATTAATGAAAAACTAGAATTTTGAACTTTATGTTATTTTCAAGATGAAAATGGCTACTATATTCAACAATAGGATATTTTTATATTAAAATACTCGGTTTTGAATTTTATTTTATTTTAAAATACCATACAAGGTATTTTGTTTAAAATACACAGATTTTTATAAATATTCTATTAACATAATTGACATAGCTATAATATTCCAAACTTTTTAGTTACATGTTGCTATATAGATTCCAGCGTTTCCCAAACTTTTTTGACCGCGGCCCGGTACGAAATTTAAAAAATTTTCGTGACCCACCTTATGAAAAAAAACATTTATTTACAAAACAAATTTTATTTTTTAATAAAAATCATGTTATTTGTCTGTTTCTTTCATACACAAAAATTGTAAAATAATTATATAACAAAAACAAATTAAAAAAATATCCATTATATTTATATAAAACTTTAGTAAATGAACTAAACTTTATTTTACACATTTTGGCCTTAGTGCGAATGATGATGTTGTTTGTCATCACATAATAATTTTAAATTAGGATAAAATGATGTTAAATTTATTCTCAAATTCGGTTCAACATCCAATCTGTTCCGATACTTATTTTTTAAGTACACTAAGGTTGAGAACGCAGCTTCACACGTATAAGTGGACAAAAAAGGCATTAAGAATTGTGACCCCTTTTGACAGCGCAACCAAAAATTAATTAGTGGTGTAGTTTCAAACACTTTTTTAAGATTGTTGTCGCATGAAATTTCAATTAAATTATCAACTTCTTGTTCACTAAGATTAAGCATTTCTTCCTTTTCAATTTTGACAGAAAAAGGATCTTTAATCCACATATTATTTGAGGTAATATCCGGAAAGTAGTCATTAAAACTATTTATTAGCATCGAAAAATGTTCTTGAATTGAAACTGATAGCGTTTCAAGTGGTAAAACTTCTTCATCGCAGTTTAAATGGTTTTCAATAAATTTATATGTTTCAAAATATTTAAAATTTCCTTTTGAAAGTCGTTGTTCCCACAGAATCATTTTTTTAATTATTGCAGTGACCTTTTCCGATACTTTGAAAATATTTAAACCAAAGCCTTGCAAATTTATAATCAATTCATTGAATGTAGCAAATATGTCACAAAAATTAGCTACTATTATTAACCATTTGAAATCGTGGAATCTATCCTTAAATGGAAAAATAGCATCTTTTTTAGATGGTGGATGTCCATTCAGAAATATCAAGACTTCATCTTTTAGCTCAAACAGACGTTTTAAAACGTTTCTTTTTGAAAGCCATCGTGAATTACAATATAAAAAAAGGTGTTTATGATCACTTCCCATTTCCTCGCATAATTCGATTAAAAGTCTGCTATTTAATGGACGAGATTTTATGTAGTTTACAAACTTTGATACATTCTTCCAAAGTCATGTTTGAATTTAAAGGCAAGCGTTTTATCACCAAAGCTTATTTATGGATACTACAGTGCACCCATACACAATTAACTGCTAATTCTTGAATTTGTTTAAACAAACCTTTATGACAGCCTACCATTGCACGTGCTCCGTTGCTACTTAGTAGACACATTTCATCCAAACAATACCGTGATTAGTGACAAAATTATCTGTCGCTTTAAAAATATTATTTGAGATCGTTCTTGTCGGCGCCTTTTACAAAACAAAAAATTTTCTTGTATGGTGTCTTCGTCAATATATCTGATAAAACACATTAGATTTGCATTATCCTCAATATCTGTACTTTCATATATTTGCGAGGAAAAAAATTTACTTTATTTTACTTTAGCAACTAGTTCTTCTTCTAAATGTTTCGCGCAATCACCAATTCTCCGTTTAACTGTATTATTTGATAATGGGATCGCTGAAAACAAACTTTTTTCCTTTATTCCGCATAAATTATTTACGACAATTTTTAAAGCGGGAAGTATTAATTTTTCTCCAGCCTTATTAGGATACCCAGTCTCGGCTATTAATTTGGAAATTTCAAAAGATGTCAAAGTGGAAACTTTAATAAAACAAATTTAATTATTGATGATTTATAAGAAAATGTATTTCTTGTACTTACCGATGTGAAGTTGCTATTAATAATAATAACTATTGCTAAATAAAATAAAAAAAAAATGAAAACGTATTAGCTTCTTTTGACACGCGTGAGTTTGCGAGCATGTACCGGAGGAAGCATTATCTGACTATCACTATTAGGGTGGCCCTCAAAAATCGAATGTCTTTTTTTTCTTTACGCTACCCCTTAATTTTTTTTTTATGGTCAAAAAAGTGAGCTGTGCAAAATTTGGGACCGATCCGTTAAGGTTAACCCGTGCCCCCGGGCCTATTAAGTTGAGTCGAAAAGTCAAATTTAATAGAAATAACTGATCTATGTCTCATAACTTTTTTTTCTCTTAACTTAGAATAATAAAAGTAAAACTCAAGTAAAGGAAATTTTACAAGAAATTCAAAAATAATAACTTCAATGTTGTTTTCTCAATAAATAGCCCACAAAAACACTACATACAGTAAAAAACATGTAAAAGTCTTAAAATACGTTATAACTGATTTTGTTGATTTTTAATTATTTATTTTCATTTTATTTTTTGGAAAACGCATTTTCGTTTAAAAAAAGAATCTAGAAGTTTAATTCTTTATGCCAAGTACGATAATTATATTAGATTTATTATTTTATAGACAGTTAATTAATGATTAATTACAAACTTAACAGTTTAATTTAATTGTTATTAACAATTTTTAATTAATTTTTTTTTAAATAATAATAACTTTAAAAAAAATATTTTAACAATAATTAAATTATATTATTATAATATATGTATATATATTATAATATATATATTTTGATAATGTACTTTTTTTACAATTAGGGAATTTTTCCGATAATTACTTACTATTTGTAAAACGTATTGTTTCTGTTCTTCATTTGTAGTTAATATATTAATGTAGTCTTAGATTAATTTAATGCCACGCTAGGCTGTATCATTAATGACTCGTAATTTACTTATAGTATTTAAAGCATTTATGTAACTGTTGTTCGCACTCCAAAATGATGGATCAATTTTCAAAAAATCAGTGTTCAGATTAAATAGTTGTAAATTTGATGGTAACTTACTACCAGTTATTTCGTGGGAATAATTACCAATAAGATAAATATTAGTTCGTAATACTTTAAAAGACGCTAAAAGTATTGTACATTTGTGATTAAAACGTATCATTTAATATATAATAATAAACATGTAAAATATATTTAACGTGTTCACAAATTGTCTGCTGCATTTATACGACACAAATTATGTCAGTTGTCGAAAATAACTCAAATATTCTTATCTTTAATAATAATATAATTGGTACTATCTTAAAGTAATTCAGTAAACCAAAATTGATATATTGATACGACAAAATGTAATAATACAATCAATTTTGTTAAATTTGTAATTAATCATTAATTAACTGTCCATAAAATAATAAATCTAATATAATTATCGTACTTGGCATAAAAAATTAAACTTCTAGATTCTTTTTTTAAACGAAAATGCGTTTCCCAAAAAATAAAATGAAAATAAATAATTAAAAATCAACAAAATCAGTTATAACGTATTTTAAGACTTTTACATGTTTTTTACTGTATGTAGTGTTTTTGTGGGCTATTTATTGAGAAAACAACATTGAAGTTATTATTTTTGAATTTCTTGTAAAATTTCCTTTACTTGAGTTTTACTTTTATTATTCTAAGTTAAGAGAAAAAAAAGTTATGAGACATAGATCAGTTATTTCTATTAAATTTGACTTTTCGACTCAACTTAATAGGCCCGGGGGCACGGGTTAACCTTAACGGATCGGTCCCAAATTTTGCACAGCTCACTTTTTTGACCATAAAAAAAAAATTAAGGGGTAGCGTAAAGAAAAAAAAGACATTCGATTTTTGAGGGCCACCCTAATCACTATACTGAATGACGAAATCATAAGCAAACATGCGCAAACAGCTGTGTGGACAATAGTAAGCGCGCTTTCACACGGCGATAGTGGTATCGGATACTTTTAATTGCACATTTATGTTCGGACGGTCCTTAAATATAAATGCGCAGACTCTGTTCGATTCAGAACCGTACAGAATTGCTTGTAGGAACGAAACTAAAATGAAACCATTCTTTTTTTTTTTATTACAAATTTTGCCGCGACCCATGTGAATTTATCTGCGACCCAGTACCGGGTCGCGACCCACACTTTGGTAAACGCTGATATAGATCATTTTAAAAAGCGGTAGCACAGCGGGGAACGCGGCACAGTGTAGAAGTGGTATAGCTGGAGCAAGTATAGATGATACCTGACGGTGATTAAAATCACTATCATAAGAATTCTTCGATGCAAATCTGTAGTATTTAATTCTAATAGTTTCTGATCACATATTATTTTAAAAAATTAATTTTTTTATTAAAATATATTCATATTCGATATTCATTAAATATTTTGATTGAATGATATTTTTTATTATTCATTTAGACTTATTTTTCCACCTCAAAAAAGTATTAAGAAAAAAATGCAAAAAAAGTTTCGACTGGCGGGGTTTGAACTTCGTACCCCCAGTATGTAAAACTGTAAAATTTACGAGGCAGCCACCATACCCTTGTGTAAGCATTTATGAATAGAAAAAATGGTACAGTTAAGATTAATATGCAGTCAGAAAATTTTATAATTACTATTTATATTAAATTTATCAGAAAAGCTTGAATTTTAGCTTCGATGCGAAGCTGAGAAGGTATTAATTTTACTATGATGTGTTTTTTTTTTATTTTTTTTTTTTTTTTT